TTTCCACAGCATATTATCTGGTAGCTGTCTTTAAAGATGGTTAGGATGACATATCCTTGTGTCCTGACCTAAAGCAAATATGATTTAAAAAGAGAGACTAAACGACTAAGGATTCACATTTCTGTACCAATAGCAACTACTGTATACAGCAGGGGTCTTCAAACTTGACAGCTTTAAGACTTGTGCACTTCAATTCCCAGAATTCCTCCTCCAATCATGTTAGCTCAGGAATTCTGGGAGTTGGTCCACACGTCTTAAACTTGCCAAGTGTGAAGACCCTTGGCATACAGAAAGCTTGTGTTTATTTCAGCCACCAAACCAAAGATCAAGATAAACAGTTCAAACTCTTTTTAAAAGGTCATAAAACTCAACATTCATAATGGTAGGGATATCAGATCTGAGCTGCAAACATTCATACAACCACTAAGTGATAAAAACAGTACAGACCATTTTCATTTCTTGTTGTTGTTTACTACCTATTAATTATCTGATTTCCACAGCACACATCTGGTAGCTGTCATTAAAAATGGTTAGGATATGCCCTGACTAGAGCAAACATGATAAAAGAGAGATTAAATGACTAGGTTTCACATTTCTTACAGCTGTCATAAAGTGATTTATCTAAGTCAGCTGTCAAGATGTGGAAACAGGGCTTATGGTCCATGCACTTTATAACCAACCAGAAGAACAGAAGTAGGATTTAGAATGGAGACAGCAGATAAAATAAAATTTATATTTTTGTTCTCAACTTTCTTAAATATACAACTTTAGCCAAAAAGAAAAAAGAAACCCAAAACCCAGAAAAACTGAATCAGCTGACAGAAACCAGAAACATCCAAGCATGACACTGCAGTGTGTCATGTCAGACAGAAGCACACACACACACACACACACAAAAGCCTAACCAGCTGGTCAGGAAGCGCAGCCAGAAGCTGCAAAAGGAACACATTTAGCGCTTCATCAAAGAAACTTAGAGCGGGCATATGTTCTCGTCAATCACAGCCATACCAAATCTGTAAACCACAACTCCGAAACTGCAAAATGGATACGGGGAGGGGAGGTCTTTGCATTCTAACAGATTTATATGGATACATACACCCTTTCTTGAACTAGTCCATATTCTCCGGCACACGATAACAGAACATGAGCAGATGCCTAGAAGCCTTAACTTATTTAGTTCTTGGTATACTTGGTTTATAGTATACTTAGCATATACTTTATACCTGGTTATTTCTGCTATGTACATGGAGGATGGGGGCCTGGCATGCTATTGTCCATGGAGTTGCAAAGGCTGAGACATGATTTAGCAATTGAACAGCAACAACAACCTCTCCTTACGCTTGCCTCACAGAGTTTTCTCCAGAAATTCCCAATCTGTATTTTGGGGCTCTCCTAGCCAGGCTGTCTATATTGATATATATATTTTAATCACTTTTATTGTTTATGCATTACATAAGCGCCTGAGTCTCCCACAGAGGGAAGCTCTAACCAATTTAAATAATGCAATTAATGTCCATTATCCAGATAAGTCCTAGACTTACCACAGTTCATATAGTGCCCATTCAAAGTTACATCACTGAAAAAAAATGACTTATGACCGTTTTTCACACTTACTGTTGTAGCATCCCCATGATAACGGGATTTACATTTGGATGCTTGACAACTGATTCACATTTTACGACAGTTGCAGTGTCCAGGAATCATAGTCTGACCTTCTGACGAGCAAAGTCAATGAGGAAATCAGATTGACTTAACAACCATTATGAATTTAATAACTGTACAGATTCACTTTTAACGAATGTGGCAAGGCGAGGCGTAAAATGGGGCAAAACTCACCAATTTCTCACTCAAGAACAACACAAATTTTAGGCTCAATTGTGGTCGTTAAATCAAGGACTACCTACCTCTATGCTAATGTCAGAACAACCACCTCTTCTTACACTTGCCCCCCACACAGAATTCTCTAGAAAAATCCCAATCAGTGGGGCTCTCCTATATCTATGTTGATATACATTTTTAATCACTTTTATTATTTCTGCATTAGGAAAGCTCAGGTCTCCCACAGAGAGAAGCTCTAACGGATTTCAATAAATAATGCAAAATCACGGCCATTATCTAGATCAGAGGTCTCCAAACTTGGCCACTTTAAGACCCGTGCACTTCAACACCCAGAATTCTCCAGCTGTCAACTCCATAAAATATTTCTATGGTTGTTTTAGAGTTGCCAACAGAAAGGGGGGGGGGGGGGGGCGTTTGAAAGAGCAGCGGGGCAGCTTGGAAATGTAAAGTGCATTTCTTACATAGTTTTTCAGAGATAGTAACTAGGTGACCGAAGTTTCTGCCGGGCAACATTCTAACTGGAGAGCATGATTGATGACTCTTGACTATGGATGTGTCCCATTGGAGAATATGAATTACGATACACCCAGGGGGTGGGGGAAGACCAGGGTCAAGGGTGACAATGAATGATGCGTCTCAAGAGTCGGCTACACCCAGGCAGTGCCGGACATGTTAACTCCCAATAAATCCTTTTGAGGTGTTGGAAGTTTGGCTTGACACTCATGATATAAATGGGGGTCAACTGCCGGAATCCTGACATTAGCCAGCATAGCTGACTGGAGAATCCTGGGAGTTGAAGTCCACAAGTCTTAAAAGTTGCCAACTTTGAAGACCATTGTCTTAAAGTTGCCAAGCTTCAGAAGCACTGGTCCAACCCTTCAGGAGAGAAAAAATGGGGAGACCCCAACACTTTTGGGGATCCTGAGAATATTCTTGGAAAGAGGTGAAGATTGGTGGTGGAAAGGGAGAAACAAGATTCCACCATGGAAGGAAGGGAGGAAAACGCCCTCGCCCAACTCCATGGGCTACTCCCGCTGTCACTCCAATCCAGAAACGCCAATAAGGAAAGCGTTCAGCGCTGAAGCTCCTCCCACACGTATCACCCCCCTCTCAAGGGCGCCTCCTGCTGTAAGGGTCCCCCCCACTAGCCACGCCCACCCGCTCCATCAATCTCGCCAGGAGGCGGGATTTTCTCGCCCTCCACCACCAATCGAAGCCCGGCCGTATTTTTCCCGACGGGCGTCACCCAGGATACTCTCCATGGTGGACATGGCGGCGGCTCAGGTGCGGGCCTGGCTCGAACGACGGGCGGAAAACAGAGCGAGGCGGCTCGGTTTCGGCGACCTGTTTGGGCTCCTGGTCTTTCCCTCTCAGCGGCGGGCTTCCTGCTTCCGTCTCCGCCCGGCGAGCTTCACTCCCCGCCTCTTCCGTCAACATCACGTCACGCGGAGCTCGACGAGCAGGAAAAGAAAAGCGGTGGTTGAGAGGATCGGCCGGAGCGCATGCGCACAACGAGAGCGCCGTCTTTGGAAAGCGGCGCGAGGCTCCTCCTCCTCCTCCCAGCCAATCGCTTTCTTCGATGGCGTCACCGGGAAAGGAGGCGGTTGCCCCCTGTCGGGAAGAAGCGGCAACTGCAGGGCTAGGACGTTTCTCAACCGGGTATATTAACGTTGACAGGCGAGAGTTCCCATCATCCCCTGCCAAGTAGGCTCAAGATGGGAGATGTAGTATTTCGCCTCCGGGAAGGAGCCTTGGCGTTTCCAGATTTACGGGAATTCACCCTCCTAACGTTCCTGATTAATAGCCATTTGATTCATCAGAAAAATCAAAGGTCTTCAAACTGGCAAGTTTAAAACTTGTGGACTCCAACTCCCAGAATTCCTGAGCTAACATGACTGGAGGAGGAATTCTGGGAGTTGAAGTCCACAGGTCTTAAAGCTGTCAAGTTTGAAGACCCCTGAAAAAAAGGAATGTTCTGCACAACACTGGACCTTAGCACGATCTGTCCCCACCTGTCCTTCCCCAGTGGGGATTTGGGGAGTTAAAATCTGTATCCAACCATTTGGAGAAAAAGTAAGGGAAAGAAAATTAATTAGCCTACCTCATCACTGCTCCCAGACAGATCTGCAGAGTTCTTGGAATAGATCGTACACCTGTGTATCTCAACTTGGCAACTTTAAGACTTGTGAGCTTCAACTCCCAGAATTCTGTCCAACCACCTATTGTCGTTTCTGGATTGGAGTGACAGCGGGAGGAGCCCATGGGTTGGGGCGAGGGTGTTTTCCTCCCTTCCTTCCATGGTGGAATCTTATTTCTCTCTCCCTTTCTACCCCAAATCTCCACCTCTTTCCAAAAATATTCTCAGGATCCCCAAAAGTGTTGGGTCTCCCTATTTTTTCTCTCCTGAAGGATTGGACCAGGTGGACTTCAACTCCCAGGATTCCCTGAGATTCAGAAACACATGGACTACAACTACCATAATGCCCAGCCAACCTAGGGCAGCTGTGGATGACCCCTGCTCAAGCTTTCTCAGGCTCTCATTGGAGAGAGCAAAACCTCTCTACTGATGCCTTTCAAAAGCTTTTTTGGGGTTATTCTAATAGTTGTGTATCGGGGTCTCCAAACTTGGCAACTTTTAAGACATGTGAACTTCAACTCCCAGCTATGCTGGCTGGAGAATTCTGGGAGTTGAAGTCCACAAGTCTTAAAATTGCCAAGTTTGGAGACCTCTGCGCCGCTTTAAGCTGAGTGGGCTTCAACTCCCAGGATCGCCCAGAATGCTGGGAGTTGAAGCCCACCTATCTTAAAAGCTGCTGAGATTGAGAAAGCGCTGATACGCACCTTGCATCAGTAGAGACAGTTCTGCGTGACTTTTCGCTCGACTGAACAAAAATTAGGTTCCCCTATTTGTTTATTTATGGAGATTACTTCCACGTAGCTCATGCAAAACGAATTGTCTTTTTTCCCCCAAAGAAGTAAGAGCATCTGGTTTAAAAGGGATATGATTTTTTTTCTTGCATACCATGCTTTATTTGGGGTGGGGGGCGGGGTAAGACGTTTTGGTTGCCCCGATTTTTATTTTTATTTTTTGTAAATCAAGAAATCGATAGCAATCAGTGTGCCAATCTATTTGTACCAATCGAGCAACTTGTCCCAATGAATGAATGAATGAATGGAGGTCGACTCCGCCTCTTTTCTTTGGAGTGACCTGAATGGCTAACCGGCCTCCAGATTATTTGCATGCCTCTCGGTGATAGGTTGGGTAGGCTGGCGTGTCGGCGCGCAGATTTAAATTTGAATTATCCAGGAAGTTGTGTTTTGTTCGCGTTCGGGCCAAATCATGGCGGAGCTCGCAGATTTGAACCCGAAGCAAATGGAAGAGTACCGCAGGTATTTCCGGAGGGGCGCATGGATGGGGAAGGGGCTCCGCCTGATTTGCTCCTTGGAAAGCCGTTTCTTTGTGGATGGGCTTGGCAGGATTGAGGGGGGATTCCACATCCCTGCATTTATTTTCCTTTTTTTTTCCTGCCTTTTCCCCCCAAAGATGTTTTTTTTTTCCTTTCCAAAAGCGATTTAGACTTTCTTATTATTATTTTTCTCGGTTGCAAACGAAAAGCACCTTCGGGACAATCACAATCTGGATGACTGAGAATCTCCATAAATACTACGGGGGTCCTTCATCAATGGGAGGTGGCTCAGGCTTAGACAAAGCCAGGGGCCAGCAGAATAATAATTTGGGGAAAAGAACAAGGGTATCTGGCCCTGCCTCCGCTGCTGGCCTTTACCCTTGACTCAAGTTGATGAGAAAGGTATACTTCGCTAAAGGTTAAGCAGAATACAGGAAAGCAAAGCCAGAACTGGAGTTTGCAGGTCAAAATTCCAAGTTTTTCCTTGCTTTAAGGCTTCCTCGTTGTTATCCCCCCACCCCTTTGTGCAATTGGTTTTGAATATATATACACATATATTTTAATGGATGCTCTGATTGTAGACTGGCATGCAGCTACATTCTTCCTTTCGGACCTTGGGATGCCAGCTCTACTCTGCACTCACTGTCTTAGCTTTTGTTTTCTCCCCATCTCTTAGCTTTCGTTTCTTCCTCCTCCCAGGAACTCCACCTATTTTTCTCAGAACAACTGTGAGAAAGTCACCCATTCGGTTTTCATGTCTAAGGCAGTCTCCTGTTTTCTAGGCCAGTGTGTTAACCACTAACTGCCTTACAGTGGAAGTTAAAGCCCACCCCTCTCGATCATCTATTAATTGCAATATTTTCCTTGATTCTCCTTTCTCAGTTTATATGCTAACCCTCTACCTGGTTTATTTGCATCTTCAAAATAGTTCTGCTTAGCACCTCTGATTTTCTGTGCTAATTCTTCTTTTTCCATGAATCCCATTTTATGTTTAATTGTATCCATTTTTAACTTAATGTCCTTTTTCTGTGGCATTTTCTGTAACTATTTTTTCAAGTCCCTTATACTCATCCTCTACTGTCTTAGAGGCTAGTCTTTTCATAATATTTCTTTTCCTTGTATAGTCTATTATCAAGCCTCTGGCATGTGCCTTCATTGTATCCCATACATTCTGCATTGATGTGTCTTCTTTTTTATTTTCTTTGAAGAAAAAAGCCAGTTCTTTCTCCGTTCTCTGTAAAGTCTTTTTATTTTAATATAGTGTTATTTAACGTCCATCTAGATCAGGCTTGTCCAACCCGCGGCCCACGGGACGCATGCGGCCCAGGTCGCCTTGTAATGCGGCCCAGTGCCCACCCCAACCTTCTGGCAAGAGCCAGCGAGGAGGAGGAGGAGAGGCAGGCGCGAGGCGAGCGCCACACCAAGCAGCAGCAGAAAAGGCCTTTGCTGCTTCTGCCCCCGCCCCCGCTGCCGCTTCTGCCGCCCCACCCCCACCCCGCCACCGCCGCTGCTGCTTCTGCCCCCGCAAAAAAAAAAACCAGGTTGAGTGAAAAGGACAATCCTCCCGGATGAATTCAGTCAGATTTCTAGGCAAAACACAGCCCAGCGGCGTCTCATGCCCGCCGCGGCAATTGAGCCGCAGTCCTAGCCACACTTTGAGCTCAATTCCGACTGGCATCCGCGGCGCTTCCTCCCCGAGCAAACCCCGATGCCTGCCCGCACGCGAGATGGCCAACACTGCGCGCTGCCTTCCTCGCAGGAAGCGGGCAAGGCAGGCGCGCAAGGGACGAGGTGGGGGGGGAGAGAGAGAGAGAGAGAGAAACCAGGCACGCCGAAGTCAAGAGCGAGCAGCTCCGAGGCGAGCGATCTGGGGAACCTGAGGCAAGCACGAGCCTCGGCTCCCGCACCAGACCAGCCTGACAACCCCCCTCCCTCCACGCCCCGCCAAGTCAGACCCAACGTCTCCTAGTCCCGAAGATTGCCCGCTTTTCCATCACCGCCACCCAGCCCGGGAGATGACGGAGAGGGGCGGGCAGGGGGGGAGAGGGAGAAACAAAGCGCTCGGCTCCCTCTTCTCACTCACCCCGAGCTTCCTGCTGCGGATTTTCACGTAGCCTTGCTTGACTATGTTGTTAAAGTTGGAGGCCATGGCCAGGACCAGCTTACCCCGCCGCTGCCGCTTCTGCCCCCGCCGCCCCCACCCTGCCGCCGCCCCCCCAACCTGGCAAAATAAATAATTAATAATTTTTATAAATAATAATTTTTATAAACAATAAATAACTTTTAATAATTAATTAATAATAAATAATAAAAATAATTTATAATTTATTATATAATTTTATAATATAATGATTTTATAATAATTTATTATATGTGCGGCCCAAACCAAATTTTCATCTTCTAATGTGGCCCAGGGAAGGTGAAAGGTTGGACACCCCTGACCTAGATCATCTTCTTTGTCCTTTCCATTTAATTGTCATTGGATTATGATCTGCCCAGGTACTTGTTTCAATATCTATTTCTTGAAGATTAACGATCAATTCTGTTGACATCCATATCATATCTGCACCAGGCACTGAGTTGTGCAAAAAAACAACAACAACCAAGATAGCAGGTTTTAGATCACTGGTAGAAGCAAATGGCAAAGGCAATTCTAATTGTCACAGAACAAGGGTTGCCAACTTTTTGGACCTCAGGGACCACCAAACTCATAATTTCAAATCCCGTGGACCAGAAACCCTGGGAAAATCCCAAAAAAAGTCTGCAGAAAAATTCCCTACCCCGTTTTCCTACCAATTGATCATTCTTTATTTGGGATTGCAAGATATACCATCTCCAGCTCCGTTCTCAGGGAGGAGAGAGAAAGAGAGAGACTCTTTTAGCTTCATGCAAGGAAAGCAGCAGAAGTCTTTCTTTCTCTCCCCCAAACTGCCAGAAATGAGTCTTTGTGAGACTTGTCATGCCGGCGCAGCCTCTTGGAGCAGAATGCCTTGCAGGGTCCTAAAGACCCATTTCTTGTGGAGTTTGGGGGAGAAAAGGAAAGACTTCTGCTGCTTTCCTTGCGTGCAGCCAAAAGCAGAAGAAGAAAGAAGTGGAAAGAAACAGCACAGTGAACAGGCGAGGCGCATGGGGCAAGTTCCCCCCATCCGCCCTTTCACCCCTCCCCTCACTACCTCATGTTGTTTGCAATGCAAGCAACGCAAGCCTTGTCTTCCCATGGGCCATGTGGGCGGCGCAGCCTTGTGTTCCTGCGCAGCCTGGATTAATTGCTTTGGGGGTGACATTTCTTCGCGGACCACCAACATTTTCTCACTGACCACCAGTGGTCCCCGGCCCATTGGTTGGCAACCACTGTTATAGAAGCAAAGCAATTCTTACAGAAGCCAAATAGCAAGTTAAACTAATTCTACTGATTCTATTGTTATTTGCCACTAATTCTACCTGTGCTACTATTATTATGTCCCTTCATGACGACAGAACTGTCTCTTGATCTTACAGATGCGTGTCCCAAGCCAAGCAGGAAGCCAGAAATGGGAACTTGGAAGCATCTCTCCAATTGTTCCAACAGGCTCTTAAAATCCATTTCAGCGAAAAGCTGACCGCAAACATTAAAAAGTTGGAGGAAGCCCTCGCTTCTCTGGCTGTGGAGGAGGAGGAGGACAACAACTTTGTGGATGTGTGTCAGTGCGGACTCATGCTGTACGGGGAAATGCACGATAAGCTTTTTGACTATCAGAGAGAAGGGGTTGCTTTTCTGTACAAGTTATATCGAGACAGAAGGAAGGGCGGCATCCTGGCAGATGACATGGGACTCGGGAAGACCATTCAGATCATCGCTTTCCTCTCTGGGATGTTTGATGCAGAACTCGTCCGTTCCGTGTTGCTGATTCTCCCAGCCACCCTTCTTAACAACTGGGTGAAAGAGTTTGCCAAGTGGACGCCAGGCCTGCGAGTGAAAGTTTTCCACGGGACCAACAAAGCTGAACGTAACAGGTATCTGGAGCGTATCCAGAGTAGAAAGGGCATCTTGCTCACAACCTACCAGGTGGTCCTCAACAACTGGCAGCAGCTTTCTAGCTTTGGTGGGGAAGAGTTTGTTTGGGACTATATCATTCTGGATGAAGCCCATAAAATCAAAACTCCGTCTGCCAAAACAACAAAATCTGTGCATGCCATTCCTTCCAAAAACCGCATCCTTCTCACAGGAACTCCGGTCCAAAACAACCTCAAAGAACTTTGGGCTCTTTTCGATTTTGCTTGTCAAGGGTCACTGTTGGGTACCGTCAAAACCTTTCGGATGGAATATGAGAACCCTATCACAAGAGCTAGGGCAAAAGACGCCACTCCTGGAGAGAAAGCTCTGGGGCTTAAAATCTCAGAAAACCTGATGTCCATCATAAAGCCATATTTTCTGAGGCGGACTAAAGATGAACTCCAGAAGAAGAAGAAGAAGCTTGAGCTTCCAAACCATCTCCCTGAAAACCAAAGTAAAGATGTTGCTCCTGTCATGCCTTCCCTTCCTCGAAAGAACGAGTTCATTGTATGGGTGTTCTTAGCACCTGTACAAGAGGAAATATATAGAAATTTTATATCCTTGGATCATATCAAGGACCTGTTGTTGTCCACAAGGTCCCCACTGGCTGAACTGAATATCCTGAAGAAACTCTGTGATCACCCAAGGCTCTTGTCAAATCGAGCATGTAGACAACTAGGGCTGGAAGCATCCAATTATAGCGAAGAAGAAGTTGGTGAAGATGAACCTAGACATGAGCTCCCAGACATGAAGAGGAGTATTGAGCATGTTTCTGATGAGATGCTGATTCAGGAGTCTGGAAAGTTGAGCGTCCTTGTGGCACTGCTGGAAAGACTGCAATATGAGGGACATAGAACTCTGGTATTCTCCCTATCGCGAAAAATGTTGGACATTATAGAGCAGGTCTTAACTCACAGGGGCTTTAAGCTCATGCGCATTGATGGGACAGTGACCCAGTTGGCAGAAAGAGAGAAGAGAATTGGCATGTTTCAGAAAGGTGCAGACTACTCTGTCTTTTTGCTTACTACTCAAGTTGGTGGGATTGGTTTAACCTTAACAGCTGCTAGCCGGGTGGTGATTTTTGATCCTAGCTGGAATCCAGCGACAGATGCCCAAGCTGTGGACCGAGCTTACAGGATTGGCCAAAAAGAGAATGTCATAATCTACCGGCTGATTACCTGTGGGACAGTTGAAGAGAAGATCTATAGAAGACAAGTCTTCAAGGATTCCTTAATACGTCAAAGCACGGGTGATAAGAAAAATCCCTATCGCTACTTTACTATGCAAGAGCTAAAAGAATTGTTCATATTGGAAGACACGCGAAGCTCGGCCACACAGCTACAATTGCAGTCCTTACATGCCACCCAAAGAAAAACAGACACAGAGTTGGATGAACACATTGCATACCTCTACACGCTGGATATATTTGGCATTTCTGACCATGATTTGATGTACACACGGGATACAGCACATGATGATGAAGCCGAAAATGAAGAAGCCCACAGGTACATTGAACACAGAGTCCAAAAAGCCCAAGAGTTGGTACAACTAGAATCTCAGTTGAATGACCAGCATATGAGGAATATTGGAAACATGACTGAAGGAGCATGGCTGAGAGATATAGACTCATCCACCCAGCCAAAAACAAAACCATCTAAGTCTTCACCAGGTGACACTCTTGGGCCATCCACGTCCGAAAGGACAATCCCAACAGTTGTGGAATCACCCACTCCATCCACAAAGGAATCGCCAACTCCTTCTCCAAGTCCTGTGGTTACCCCACCTATATTTATTAGTCCTGTCGTCACTAATGAAGTTATTGATCTGGTAAGCGATGATGACAATGATGCTGTTAGTGATATGGTCAATTTGAGCTCTAAAATGACCAGTCTGGTTGTTGAAGACATGAATGATGAGCAAATGCTTCAGATTATTTCTAATGCTTTGCCTTCTGAGGAGAAAGAACACCAATTTCCCAGCTTCCAAGTGTGTGACCTAAATCCCGGGACAACACTTGTGTCCCCTTTTCAGACTCATTCAGTATCTATCAAGGAGGACTACAGTCCTGAATCCAGTGCAATCTCCGAACTGCCTGCCAAGGATATGGACGATGAGGAAATGCTTTCCCATACAACCAATATGGATGTTCTGCATTTCAAAAACAAAGAATATCAACAAACCAGACTGCAAACGGATGACCAAAATGAGAGTCTGAATGTTGTATCTTCTCTTCCCCAAGCTACTTCATCATTGATCGAAGGCAGTGTCAACTCAGAATCCAAAATGATCTCTTGCGATCCATCTCCAGAAGCAAGACGTGAGCTTAAAGATGTCCAGATGAAACTGTTGCAGGAATCAGTTGTGTATCCTTCTGATGATGGCATGCACCGAACTGAGACTGACATGTCACTTGATGTTCTTCATGGAGATCCCTGCGAAATTAATGAAGTAGATGCTGTGGCACCACATCAGGCCCTGGTTAGTAAAATGACAGAAAGCATCACGCTGCAGAACTCTGGCACGAGAGAAACAGAGCAGTTCAAGTGTCCTGATATTTCCTCTCACTATCAGCAGATGAGAAATATCATAAACACGACAGAAGGTTCATGGCTGAGAGATACAGACTCATCCAACCAGTCAAAAACAAAACCATCTAAGACTTCATCAGGTGACACTCTTGGGCCATCCACATCCGAAAGGACAATCCCAACAGTTGTGGAATCACCCGCTCCATCCACAAAGAAATCGCCAACTCCTCCTCCAAGTCCTGTGGTTACCCCACCTGTATTTATTAGTCCTGTCATCACTAATGAAGCTATTGATCTGGTAAGCGATGACAATGATGGTGTTAGTGATATGGTCAGTTTGAGCTCTAAAATGACCAGTCTGGTTGTTGAAGACGTGAATGATGAGCAAATGCTTCAGATTATTTCTAATACGGAAGATGCTTTGCCTTCTGAGGAGAAAGAACACCAATTTCCCAGCTTCCAAGTGTGTGACCTAAATCCCGGGACAACACTTGTGTCCCCTTTTCAGACTCATTCAGTATCTATCAAGGAGGACTACAGTCCTGAATCCAGAGCAATCTCTGAACTGCCTGCCAAGGATACGGACAATGAGCAAATGCTTTCCCATACAACCAATATGGATGTTCTGCATTTCAAAAACAAAGAATATCAACGAACCGGACTGCAAACAGATGACCAAAATGAGAGTCTAAATGTTGTATCTTCTCTTCCCCAAGCTACTTCATCATCGATTGAAGGCAATGTCAACTCAGAATCCAAAATGATCTCTTGTGATCCATTTCCAGATGCAAGAAGTAAGCTTAAAGATGTCCAGATGAAACTGTTTCAGGAGTCAGTTTCATATCCTTCTAAGGATGGCATACACCAAACTGAGGCTGACATGTCACTTGATGTTCTTCCAATCTCTCATGGAAATGCTTGCGAAATTAATGAAGCAGATACTGTGGCACCACATCAGGCCCTGGTTAGTAAAACAACAGAAAGCAGTGCACTGCAGATCTCTGGCACGAGAGAAACGGCGCAGTTCAAGTCTCCTGATATTCCCTTTCTCTATCAGGTCAATTTCAACCTTGCCTTTGAGGATTCTGAGCATGGTCCACAAACTATCTCAGAAAAGGACACGTCATTAGAGGAGACAGCAAATGAAGGATTCCAGCTAAAGTTGGATAGTTATTGTAGCTCTGCAACTGAATCAGTTGGGAAAGAACATAGGAATCACAGAAGCCTCCAGACTAGCAATGGTGTGGAGAGCTCTGTAGTCATGGACGATTCCAATGGTCCATGTGATAGTGGAGACAGTTTTGGGCTGGGGAAAAAGAAGCGTCCTGCAATGATTGTTTCAGATGAGGAAGAAGAAAATGATGAATTAATAGATGAACTGGATGAGGACAAGCCAGATGGAATTTGTATGTCTACACCAAAGACCGACAGGCCAGTGGCTGCAATTTGTTTTTCTCCAAGGGTCAAATTGAGTGGAAGAAGATCAACGGCTTCTCGTCGATCCTTCTTAGATATGGTCTTGGAAGAAGTGGAGGATGCAGCCAGAGAAGCAGGAACTGTCAGCAATGTATCTAATGATAGGTCTGTTCAGCAGGAGTATGAAGAAGAGCTAACCCAAAATTACACTGAGCAAACGTCAGCGGAATTGGAAGAGGAGCCATCGGGAGAAACCCTGGATTCTGAGAGTGAATTTAGCCATTTTTATGATGCAGACTCTTCAAGAGGAGAATCTTTCTCTGAAGTCGCAATATAGGGGGAATCTAATCCTTCCCTAACCCTTGGGTTACTGTGCTTGAGTTGAATCTTTGCTCTGAAGACTTGTTCCTACTGTTGGACTTTATTTTGGAAAGCCAGCTGCTGAAAATTAAATATACAGTATATTTGGGTCTGTCTTAGTTCTTTTAGTTCCTTATTATGCTTTGCTGCCTTTCATTTCAAAAGGAGTTCAATTTTTATCCATCACTTCCTCTTGGGTACGGCCAACGTGCTATATTTTAGAGACTTAATTCTCCTTGAGGTAGCTAATCTTTGATTGGGCTGTGTCACTTGAGACTTATTGCAATGATGAGGCATGGGTCTCCAATCAATCAATCAATCCCAGTGATGAAAGACTGACATACCAGAGAAGGCTTGAATAACATCTAGCAATGACAATTTCACACATAATGACTTTTAGCACATGGAAAATGCTTAGACCAGTGTTTTCCAAACTTGTCAACTTTAAGATGTGTGGATGTTAAGTCCCAGAATTCTTCACCCATCTTGACTGGGGAATTCTGGGGTTTGAAGTCCACACAGTTTAAAGTTGCCAAGATTGAAAAACACTTGTTTAGACATTGCCAAAAAGCCTAAAATGTGGTTTTTTTTTAAATCAGATAATAGGAATAGCTTGAACAATTGAAAGTAATTTTCCTATTTTTAAATATCCCACTAGTGCTTTTTTTCACCTACTTTTTATACAATTACTAATTGTTGACTTAATAACTATAACTGAGCCCAAAATTTACTGGAGTAGCTCTAAGCAAGACAGTGTCGAGCCCGAAATTGACATGTGTAGCCATTTTATTTAGCTCTATATTCCAATCCTATATTTCTTTTCTTTCTCTTTGCTTGTTAAGTGAGTTTTCCCCTATTTTACGAGCTTTCTTGGCACAGTTGTGTGCCAAGATGTGCTAAGCATGGTTAACTGAATCTGGCTTCTTTGTCAGAAGGTCACTGTCAACTTGTAAAACATTTCCATGCCTGTTTCCAAAAGAAAGAGTTAGGGAGGAAACCTGAAGGAGCATATGGCAAATGAATTCAGAAGCATATTCCAACTTTATCTCAAAAAGAGCTTTTGCCCACGAAGTTCCTTAACTGGAGAACATGACTGATGACACGCGGACACGCGGGGGGGGGGGCAGGGTCACAGGTGACTGCAAATTACGTATGCCAGAGTTGGTTTCATACAGGTCATGCCAGTCTGTTGCTCCTAATAAATTCTTTGAAGTTTTTTTAACTTTGGCTCAAGGCTCATGATTTAATTAGGGCAATTATGGAATCCTGACAGCCACAAAAGCTGATCACATGACCCTGAGACACTGCAACCGTCATAAAATACATGCCAGTTGCCCCATGTCCAAATTTAGATCATATGACTGACCCTAGGGATGCTGCTTGGTTGTAACTGTGACAATGGTCATAAGTCACATTTTTCAGTAACTTTGGTCTCCAAACAAATTATTAAGTCGAGGCCCACCTGTAAACCTTTTCCCCCTTGATGAGCGACAGTTCATGCTAAGTCAGAAGTGAAAAGTCAGGTATGTGACCTACTCGTATTCAGTGTGGTTTGTTTGGTTTTGCCCTGAAGATTGTTTCAGAGATTGTTGTGATTTGCAAATGTTGGTTTATGATAGAATGTACAGGAAGCAGCCCACTATGGCTCGTTTAGCAAAGTATGCTTAAAACAGCCTATGATTTAGGACAATAATGTTAATTCAGATTGTGTGAACAACAGCTACCTGTAACTCCATATGCGGTCTTGCCGTTTTGGCTGTGTGAAAGCTGCACTGGAGTTTCTTTTTACCTGGATGAGGATTTCTGTTCTTTAAGTGAGAAGCTGTTCACTAGTTACCCCGATTATATGAGAATCAGGTCTGAATCTTTATCTTCTTTATGTCCGATTTTGAGCCAATCACTTTTGCTGGTTTTGCACATTATCCTAAGCTTTAGTTTGCTTAACTACGACTTGCAGACTAAGCCTCCTTCTGGCTGGGTTCACACAACACTAAAAATCCATGCGTTGTAAAAAGGTAATCGCTGGCTTACACCACAACCTGCTTTGTGCTTGTGTTGCAGAACGAGGTTGGGGAAATGGGTTTTCTGAGCTTGAAGAACAGCAGAAAGAAAAAAAAAATACTTTGCTTCCTCCATAGGCTGTTTTGGTTAGAGCTAGAAACAAACAAAATGCAGAATAAGAGTCGGAAGGGACTTTAGCATGCTTCTAGTTCAACTTTTTCCTTCCTTCCTTCCTTTCTCTCTTCCCTTTTTCCTCTCTCCTCCCTCCTTCACTCCCTTTCCTCCCTTCCTCCTTCCTCTTCTTTTGTTTCTCTCTCCAAGTTACTCTCCTTCCTATCTCTTAGATTAACAGAATTGGAAGGGACCTTGTAGGTCATCCAATCCAACCCCCCTTATCCAAGCAGGAGACCCTACACCATTTCTGACAGATGGCAGTTTAGTCTCTTCTTGAAAGCTTCCAGTGATAAAGCTCCCACAATTTCTGAAGGCAACTTCTGTTCCATGGGTTGATTGTTCTCATTGTCAGAAAATTTCTTCTTATTTCCAGTTGAATCTCTCTTTGTTCAGTTTCCATCCATTATTCAGGTGCCTTGGAAAACAGGTTGACCCCCTCATCTCTGTGGCAGCCCCTCAAATATTGGAAGACTGCTATGGTGTCTCCCCTGGTCCTTCTCTTCTCTTCACTAGACTAGACATGCCCAGATCCTCTCCTTTCTATCCCTCTCTCCCTCCCTCCCCTACCGCAAAGATCCCCCATCCGTGTTGAGGCAGAGATCTGTGACTATCTCTGTTGAGCATTTCTCTTGCCCTTCGCGAGTCAAAATCCATAGCATGAGCAACAGGATTCTCCTAAATTGTAAATGTGAAGATATATAAAATGGTCCCATCAAAGCTTATTTAATTAGGTCTCTTTAAAGAGATATAATTGTTATAATTGCCAGTTGCTGAAAATTCTCTAAGGTGGACTTTCATTTGTCTTTGAACATTACTACATAAACCGATGTTGCAACTGGCAACATTTAAGCTGGTTCCTGCTTTCTTTGGATTGGTGGGTTTTGTGGACCCAGCTATTGTGGTTTGCAAAGTTTGCTTTGGGCTTTAGTGTTATACAGGTGTTTCCAGTTGTGCCATATGCTAAATAAATGTTCCAGTTGTGTGTCAGGGCGCCAATAAATCCACCCCCAATCAAATCAAGTCTCTAGTCGCATCTCAGAGAAAAGAAAATTGATTTTTTTAAGAAGTGGCCATGTTTGCGTTAGCTGGATGCAGCTGACACTAAAATACATCATTTCCCCCTTGACCCTGGTCTTCTGCCCACTCCCTAGATGTATATTCTCCAATGGGACACATCCATAGCCAAGAGTCATCAATCATGCTCTCCAGTAATATTCTTGCACGCCCGACAACTTTGGGCTGCCAGGGCGATTATCTAGGCATCTGAGGAATGCACTGTTTTCCCCTACTCCCTTTCTGCTGGCAGCTAAAATGACCAAAGGAGTATCTTTTTAGTTGACATTGTGATTTATTCATGTCAGAGTTAAACGAGCTGTTTCAATGCTAAAGTGTAGGGCCAAGTCAAGAAACAGATTAAGGCAAGGGATCCATGAATACTCTTTATTGTAATAAGGTAGAAAAACAATCTTGAAAGCCTTTCTGTCTCATTTTCTAGTAAACAAAATCAAGGCACAGTTATTTTACATTCCTCGTGTTTCCCTTTTTCTTGGGACTGTATAAACTTTTCTGCATGGCCCTTCTTCGTGTTCATTCCTTCTTTCTTTAGGCCCAAGGTCAAGTCTACATTTTTATCAACAGAGAGGGTTGCATCAACCCACAATGACCGTTAGGATTTGCCAGTGATACTGTACAGTGTATGAACTCAACAAAAATAAGTCCATCCTCCTCTGGGGCCAATAATTTTAGAATTCTTGTTGCAGGTTTCATCTATTTTGAGCTGTTTGTGATGCCATGCTATTCCTTGTGAGCATTTTTTTTTTTTTTGTAGCATGAAACTGTCAGAGCTTGTGACCATAATTTATTCAATTTCCTTTCTATCAAAGACCTGTTGGGTGGTCAGCATCCATGTCCCCACAATATACTTTTCAGAAAGGAAGCATCCAATCCTGCCCAAGGTACATTTCCTTCCTTTTGAGTGTTTAAATATAGAACCAACTAAGGTTCCTGCTTTCCTTCTATCTAGAATGAGTCACCTCTCCTTGACGTCATGTCTCAGAAAAGGCAAGTCTGCTTCAACGTCATTGGAGGTGGCAGCTGCAGCCTTGTCATGTCCTATTGATCTCCCATTTCATCAGAGAGAGAGAGAGAGAGAAGAGAGAGAGAGAAATGGAGATGTTTGGTGTTCCGTGTCTTTCTGCTCTCTCTCCATTGATGTCAGTCACCAATTTTGTCTTCATACTGAAAGCTATGCCAGGGTGCTGGTTTGCAAAACCAGGGTTGACCTTCCTTTCCAGGAAGCTCTTCCAATCCTTTTTGTCTTACATGAGTGGAATCATCCTGAATTGTCCTTAGATTGGGGTGGAATCTTAGTCATTAATCTGTTGCTTTATGACTCTTTACTCAATGTACTGACACCCTCGGAGGATTGAAGTTTACTCAATCCAGTTCTGTAGCTCTACCTTGGAGATATTGATGTACTGGTAGCCTTAGGCTTACCACCACGACCGAGTCCAAAATTTATGTTACTAAGTGAGACAGTTGTTAAGCGAATTTGCCCCGTTCTATGACCGTTCTTGCCACTGCTGTTAAGTGAATCACCACAGTTGTTAAGTTTGTAACATGGTTGTTAAGTGAATCTTTGAGTTTGCTTGTCAGAAGGTTGCAAAAGGGATCGTGTTGACATCCTACCACTGTCATAAATATGAGTCAGTTGTCAAAGTGTCCAAATTTTAATCACGTGACCAGAGGGAAGCTGCCACCATTGTAAGGGTGAAAAATGGTCATCGGTCACCTTTTCCCAGTGATGTTGTAACGTTGAACAGTCATTAATGAACTATTGTAAGTCAAAGACTAAATGTATAAGCTAACTTCATTGGTGATATATACCTTCATTGCGTCCTAAAAGGACGCAAATGACCAGCTGTTTGCAAAGAATATAAATCCTCCCATTTCTCCACTATCCTGTCAGAGCTGAAGAAGCTTCTTTGGGTGAGAAGCGAAACGTCTTCAAAAGAAAAAACAAGAAGGTGCCTCTTGAAAGAAGTACCTTTGAGACTAACTTCATTGGGTTAGCAAAGATAAGAAATATGGGGTTGGTTAGTTGCTGACTCAGTGGATTATTAGCTGTAGCCGACTAGAAAAATCTGGTGAGAATAAATATTAATTTTGCAGACTTGGTCCCCTCTTCCCTATCCCTTTGAACTTGCCTTACATCAAGTCTCACCCAGCCAGCCGTGATCAAGGAAGGAAGCACTATACAGTATAGACTTCGGTCAAGTATCTATAATACTGGACTGGGATTAAATACAGAATCTTGGA